AAATTCAATCTTTTTAACATATTTTCAAAATATTTCAGCAAATATAATATTAAAAAACGTACAAAGAAATAATATTGATTTTAATGAACCACGCCTACATTGAATTTTTTTAAAATCGCGAACGTTTTTCTACTAGTTAAAAAACCCCATTACAAGTTCAACCATTATTTTAATCCTGAAAAGATAATCTGAAAAAGTGGACAAAGGAAAGACAACACAGCCAAAAGACGTGATTTTTTTGAAAAAGTCTACACAATCTAATCAATGTTAATGCTAACGGTCACCTATGGCTATGCTATGCTTCTGCCCTTTGCCATCACAAGAAGTAAAAAAAAAAAAACTTCAGCACCATAACTGTAAAAAGATGGCACAATTGAAACCACAGAAAGAACCATCTTCCTATTTGAGACCTTGAGCTTCTTTCATATTTTGAAGTCAGGCTCTAAAAGTTGAACGAAATTACACGAGACGAGAGACGCGCCATAAAAAACCTAAGAAAAAAATGATAAAAATATCTGCTGTTGTTATGCACAAGATGCTGACCCGACTTTTTTTTTTTTTCCTTAAATACAAATGCAGGATGCAACACGAAGACTGACAACCAAGACAGCCCCTATCTACACGTCCGAAATGCTCGAACGACATGGAAATTATAAAAGAATCATATGTTGATTCCATCATGAATTCTTTTTTTTTTTCTTTCACATGGTTCATTATTTCCAAAGATGATCGGGGAGCTAGAAACCCTTTCTAGCTACCGTTCGTCCATTGATTGGTCTGCCAGTCATCCAGAAGGCTAGCAGAAAATACAAGTGTGTTTTTTTTTTAGATATACAGGAAGTTAAATTCCTCCCTCCATCATAAGGTGAGACTCGGACTTTTTTTTGACTTCTCTGGTGAGCGTAACAATTTTAAGACCTGCATGCATACGCCCGAAAAGTTTTGATAAATACAACAGTTGAAGAAATCGCATACATAAACAAGGATAATGTCATAATAACTAGAATACGTTCTTCAAAATTCTCAACAATTTTGGTGGGTCTATTCATGCATCGTCAGCTATCATTTTTCACATTCTCTTAAAATGTTGTTGGGTCGGGTCTGTTCATTTTTGGGTTTCTTAGATGATTCAGTTAAACCCTCAGGAGGAGTTTTGGTAATCTACCCAATTTCTTGTTTATGCCCTTATTCAAGAGATACATCTCAATAGCAAGAAATCTCTACTGTACCACTACCTAAGTGAGGTTTCTCATATTCATCGTCGTAGCTTAAACCAGTATGCACAGGCTTGCACTTTGACTAATATTTGAAGTATAAAACTGTTCTCATCCTCAATCAGAGACAATTGACTAGCTCATTAGAACTTTTAGCTTCAGTTTTTTTTTTTCCATTATTTTTTGTCCGTTTTACTACCCACTGAATTACCCCTTCTGAAGATTAAATCATGTGTATCCGGAAAAAAAGGAAGTGTAAAAATATACTGAGAACCAGTAAGATACCACTAGAATGCAAAGCGAATAATTTGCAAGGCTAGATTTGAAGCCTGCCAACCAAGTGGCAGTGCCGCTGTTCTTAGTCCTGCTGCAATCTAAGGGAACCTGAGAAAATAGTAATAGAAGTAATCGGGTATATATCCATATTGTCAAACTCAAATACATAAATAAATCCAAATTTGAATTAGAAAACGTACCTAGATTAATCCTCACCCAGCATTTTGGTCAGAACCGCCACCCGGCATGAATTGAGGAGCATGTGCAGGTAGTATGAATTGTGGCTGTTGTGGAATGGCACCTAATACAACCAAATATGTTAGGCCCAGATCTTCATGTTTCAAATATATTAAATCTCAAAGAACCTAAAACTGATTAAATGAATGACAAGGTAGAGGTATAATTGAGGGGCCATACAAAAATAAATTAAGTGGCAAGAGTGATTGAGCTGATAAGAAAAGCAGGTGTTGCTAAGCCACACATATTTGATGGCCAAAAAATAATTGATTCATAAAATCTTAAGCTAAATACTAAGTAGTTAAAAAGATCTTGCCACACTAACGTATCAATAGACAATATCTTATATATCTGGACAAATTATTTGATCTGCAAGAACGCACGTTAGTAGCTAATTGCTTTCCCAAATCCTCTCACTTAACAATTAGCCTTCAAACTTAATTAATACGTGCCTTCACCAATTTATAGTCTAAAATTTATATAGTATCGACCATGTGTACATTTCAACCGTACTGCAACTGAGTAGTGTCCTATCAACTAAGCCTGTTTCTTCTTATTGTGCATGGACCACAATGTCATCAGCATTCCCTTTTAAGAAATCAGTGGACCACAAATATGCGTGGCTTTCACAAAATTCCATATGAAGGGGGAATCCAAACAGGTAAAACATTCAAAATCAGCATTCCCTTTTACGAGACATTCATAATGAAAATTAGTCCTTTTAAAAATGAGTGGAAACTAGTATGGTCTTGAAAAGCAGAAACTCAAAATAAATCAATTACAAGCATGTCCGGATTTGGCGAACAATGTGAAAACTCCAGAGTGGAAAACACGAGCACGGACAGATAAACAATGTTGGGTAGGGGAAATTAGAATATTTACCTGCAGGATATGGCACTGGTATAGTTGGAACAGAGGATGATGTCATCACATTGGCACTTGGTCCACCGTACTGCATTATCTGATGACCAGGCATTGCATATCCTGGCAATGCAGAATAACTGTGACTTCCTGGACTTGCCTGACTCAACTGGCTATAAGGATACATAGTTGTGCCAACTGTTCCTGGCACGCCATATATCTGAAGGAACTGTTGACTCCCATATGGGTTGTAAACACCCTGCACGAGACAATGAGAAAAAAATGCCAAAATGATTTCAAAAAATATTTGCATTGGAGAACATTCAGCAGTACGTTTCCTATTGGTTGACCTGAGGATAAGCATAGTCTGGACTGTATGCAGTATACCTGCTTCTTCGAAAGACAAAAAAATAAAAAAGAACAAAAAAAAAAAAAAAAAAAAAAAAAAAAAAAATCGTCAATTGAGTGACATATATAACTTGGATGAAATAAATTAAAGCAGTAAAAAAGTAACCAATATCAGAGTATTAAGTGTAGCAAATAGTAACACAATTTACTGTTCAGCTCACAAGTCACGGTGTAATGGGCAAATCTTTTCAGAAATCTGCAGTAGATTCAAGGAATCCAAGACAGAAAATTAAAATTTTCAACTTTTACCGGTGTATTATTCTATTAAAACAAACCAAAGACAAGCCCCTGAAGAATAAAACTACTACTTCCAAGTACTTTTTTCACTATCACAATCTTTATGAATTATATTCCACAAGCCTCTAACACAACATATTTTGTTGTTTTTCAGTAACGAAACTAACACAGCTATTATAGTTAGAGGTAATAGTTTCAGGCTCTTTCTGAAGACTATTTCCAATTCCCCATCAAATTCCAAAGACAATAAACCTAGTATGTTTACAAACAATTATCTTTAACAGTACAGTAAAACAGATGCATAACTGGAAGTTGCACTCCAAATACTAACAAGATCATCACCATGCAATGGTTCACTAAAGTCATGCCTTCTGATGTCATTAAATGTACTTAAACGAACAAAAATAAGCCCATCATAATTATGCATGACAAAAAATTGGAACTGTATTTTTCATGAATAAAAGCTAAGCAACAATAATATATTATAAATGCCTGTTTGTTTGATGTCATTTGAATACAGTTAATGCACAACAAACGCAACAATACAATTTCTTAAATAGTGATAGGATTGCTTAAAAGACCTGAAGCATGGATGTCCATCCGTATACACCGGTTTCATAATAAACAAAAATCTTTCAACACATAGAAGTAACAAAGAATCCATCAAACCACACCGACAAAATTACATCACAGAATGTCACTCACCCATAAGGAGAATACATCAAGCCTTGTTGAAATCCATATGTAACCGGTTGCTGGTAGCCATAACTTCCAGGATAAGCACCCCTAGCCGCCGGTATGCCTCCAAGGTAAGGTGCCGGAGATCTAAGGCGTCCTGCAAGCAATAAACAGACATATGTATATTATAGTGTTAGTTGAGGTAAAACCAGAAACTCAACTCCTACGTTGATGGTCCTCCATGCATTAAACCAGACCATTACTTGTGGTGACTTCTACACATATGGACCAAATGCTAGAAACTTGATTCAAACAATTGTTCTTTAAGATATGCAAGAGTATGAAACTATTAAAGGTACACTTAAGAAATAGCTTATAACAACATATGCTTATTTGAGATTTCACAAACAAGGCTATAAATCATCACCTCGAAGTTTTCTTTTCTTGACGAGAATATACTTTCGCGAGTTTATAAACCTAACTGGAAGCATAAGAATAAATGTGCAAATGCAGGATCTTTCCCGGGGTAACGTACCAGTTATTAAAAAGAAAATTTGGAATTGATACTATTTGTAAAATGCTCGATCTCCAAAGGATAACAGGTAAATTAAAAAATTCAAACTATGCTAAACAACATCCCATCAGAAACTAAGCAGGAACTGGAAACAATGACACAGAAATAATAAAAGGACAGCGTAAAATCCAAATCATAAAGAATATTTGAGGAAAAAATTGAGTATATTACCGAAAGGAACCGCTGGACGAGGTCTACCAAGTGATGCCAAATTACAATTTGCTCGCCTCCCATCAATAATTGGAGTTGGATCCGCACACGCTCTTCTAGCTGACTCAGGGTCACGGAAAGTCACCTAAACCCTCCATACAATCACCATTTAGGGACCAAAGCCATCAAATTATCCACATTATATTACCTCAACCACAATAAATAGATAAAAATCCTATTTGATAACTCACAGGTAAAGAAGAAACAGAAAGCTAGAAATTGATTAATTTATCGACCGAGCACTACAAAAATCTCATATGATCCAAATCAGAATGTACAGTCACCAGCAACATTTTTAAACAGCAGAAGAAAGATAGAATGCATAATCCACAAAAAACAAAACAGAGATTAAAATTATCATCCAAGAAAACAAGAACTCACAAAACCATATCCTTTGGATCGGCCAGTATTTTTATCAGTGATGACCACAGCCTCAAGTATCTCCCCAAACTGCTCAAAGTAGCGTCTCATGGTCTCACTCTGAGTCTCCCAAGCCAACCCTCCAACAAAAACCTTAGTGAAAGTCGTGTCCCCAAATGGAGAATTCATAAAATGGAATCCACCCGGACCCGAGCCCGAGCTCGGTCCCGGAATGGGATGCTGCTGCTGCTGCTGCTGGTAAGCCATAATTGCTAACTTCAACTAATCAAATAAAAATGAAGTTTTTTTTTTTTTTT